CATGGTCCCCTGAGCATCTCGCCCTGGGAGCCAGGCTGGCACTGACCCACCTGCGGCCACCCTGCCCGGGGCTGTGCTGCCCCTGGCCTGGGGCTCTCTCCTGCTCTGTTTCTCTCCTGCGTTGGCCCCGCAGCCCCCCTGCCAGGCGTCAGTGGGGACGTCGCGACCGACCTCTGGCAACCCTGCTGGGCCAGGATGAGCCCCAGCTGCACCCTGCCTTCCCCCAGCAGCCGCACATCCCTGTAGATGAGCCCCGCGCCTACGCTCTCCCCAGCACGCCGCCACGAATGCTTCACCCGGCCGCTCACCCGCCCCACCAGAACCCATTCATGGTGGATCTGCATGACCAGGTAGGTGCTGCAGTCCCCAGCCCCAATCCTAAGGGTGACCCTGTGGTGGCCCCAGGCTGCTGTGTGGGGCAGTGATCCCAAGACACGTCCCTGAGCCCCTCTGGTCAGTCCCTTGCTGCTGGGAGCACCCAGCCCTGAGGCTGCTACTACTCTTGTCCTCCGAGCACTTAAACCGTGGGGTCCTCCTGCCAGCTTGGGTGCGTCCAGGGTGGTCCCTGTTTCCAGGAGCTGGGGACAGTCCCCTCATAGGGTTGTTCACATCACAACTGTCACCATCACCCATGGTGGTGGTGCTGGGAGAGAGGCTGTGCCAGCCTGTCTGCTGGGAGCAAAGATGGGTCCAAAACCCCACTCCAGCCCAGCCTGCACTCAGCGCCCCTCCTCTGGCCACACCACTGGGATGGAGGTGCTGGGTGTTTGTGTCCCAGCACCGGGTGCTCAGCACCCTGCTACCACCCTGCCAGGACATGGACAGCTCAGCCGGTGCTGTACCCTGACTGTGCCATTGGTGCCTCGTCCTCAGGTGCACCAGGGACCTGTCCCTCTCTCCTACACGGTTACCACCGTCACGACGCAAGGCTTCCCCATCCACGCCGGCCAGCACATCCCTGGGTGCAGCACCCAGCAGCTCCCAGCATGCTCAGTGATGTTCAGTGGACAGCACTACCCGCTCTGCTGCCTCCCGCCCCCGGTGAGTCACGGGAGGGGACACCTACAGCCTGGGGACAACCTGGGCCAGGGGTGCCTTCCTACACGGTTACCACCGTCACGACGCAAGGCTTCCCCATCCACGCCGGCCAGCACATCCCTGGGTGCAGCACCCAGCAGCTCCCAGCATGCTCAGTGATGTTCAGTGGACAGCACTACCCGCTCTGCTGCCTCCCGCCCCCGGTGAGTCACGGGAGGGGACACCTACAGCCTGGGGACAACCTGGGCCAGGGGTGCCTGGAGGTCGTGTGGGTACCCTGCCCCACCGGAGTGCAAGTTTCTGGGGGCGCTGTCTGTTGGAGTCCCTGTGGAGGGGGCAGGGGTGCAGCCATGGCCATGGTGGATGTCTGACCTCCGTTTTTCTCTCTCTCCCCTACAGCTGATCCAGGCATGCGCCATGCAACAGCTTCCCGTCTCCTACCAGACGTTCCCCAGCACCCGCGCATGGTGAGTTGGGGTGGGGATGCGGGCTGGGGACACGACACACCCTGTGGCCCACAAAGGCCACCTTGGGGTCCTGTCCTTCTGCAGCCCCTGTGGGTCTGAGCTGGGGGTGATGGGTGGGATGCCCAGGGTGCCTCTGTCCTGCTTGTGTCAGGGGGGTGTGATCTAGGACGCCCTTCACAGCCTAATTGTTCCCCCCGCAGCCTCTGCAGAGGATAGACAATGACGTGGACCTCCGAGGGGAGCAGCACCCCATTGCAGGCTTCACGTACCCCCCGTCCCACCATGCTCCCACGCTGTCCCCCTCCGTGCCGCTGCATTACCTCCCCCACGACCCGCTGCACCAAGAACTGCCATTTGGCGTGGTGAGTCCCTGTCTTGTGGAGGGGTGGGGGAACGCCATGACGCTG